CCGTATGAGGTGGTAAGCCGTATGATGGTAGTTTGAGGAGGAGCCCATGGTGCCAAACACGGTCGAATGCCTTCGATGTATCCAACGCCATGTTCTTCTAATGAAGTTTGCCATATATGGTTGTAGGCCAGTAAATCTCTAGATGATCTTCGGAGGCGAAAGCCTTTCTTCCCTTTTTTAGGAATTGGTTGGACGCTATTTTCCAGCAAGATGGAAAAATACCCGATTTGTACGATGTGAATAATTTGCAGAGAATGGTTGTCAATTTTCTTGCACACTTCTCGAAAATTTATTAGGACCGTTAGCCTTATTTGTTCTGATACTGAGCAGAATGCGTCTGATAATGCCTTGACGAAAGATGATTTTGGGCATTAGACTTTCAACGGGTGTAATGTCCGACGGCACTCTTGCTTGGCAATCTAAGGTTAATTTTTCTGCAGACAATCTATGAGTTTTGATATTCTTTTGGCATTGTATGATCATTTTAATGCATCTTTTGTTTGGCTGCCGTTATTATTCCTGGCTGTTATGCGATATTAGGCTATTTGTTTCAAGGAAACAGTTCTAGAACAGTTCTTGTTAAACCGGGGGGTTTCGAAGGTGATGATCTTTTCGAAAAATGAGGTATGTATGTGTCCATTTTAAGTGTGATGATCTCGAATTTTTCCGCAGCACACTGTGAAGGATCCTCAGAATCAAAACATATTCTATGCCAAGGAAACTTGGAGAAAAAAATGCGGGGACCGTGTAGAACCATATATTTTTTTTATTATTATTCCACGTTGAATACTATTTTTGACATTGAAAAGCGGAGGCTCCTCATCACAGTATTAAAATTTGTTCCAGTTTCCAGTGTTCCAGTGTTCTCACAGGATGGTCATTATATAAGAGGAGGATATTTATGATTTCGCTTTCAGCATTATTCGAGATGGACTTATTGTAGACCAGAATTACTGTAGGTATATTCATTTATAATGAGATACTCTGATGATTTACCAGTGGATTCACCTCATTGATAGAATTGCATACGGTTGCATTATCATATATTATTATCTACAAGTGATTTCTGATGTTTCTTTGAGAAAGGTGTAGTTACCTATTAGGTACCTAAAGACCATAGCAAAAATGAAAGTTTTGAAACTTTCTAGTGGGTCAGTTCATATTTTAAATAACAGTTCTTTAATCACAGTGAAATTGTGATTTTACAGGTGTCATTCACGAAGGCTATTAAAATATGAGAGAAACCTTCCCAGTATAATGTCATTATGGTTGTTTCGCTGTAATTTAATTAATAACTGCTATTATTATGAATATACTATGTAATATATTCATGTTATCTGAACAGACGGATGTTTCTTTATTAGGCAGTAAAAAAAGTTTTGTTTTAATAATCAATTACAAATTATACTCAAAACACGACGCACATCAATATTTACAATGGCCCCAATACGTATTTCGACAACTACAGATAACATCCTCAGTAGAACTCATGAAAAAATAAAGATTAGCTGATTCTTCCATATCTTTCAGAGGATATTCTTCAGAGGTATTTCTGGACATTATTTCGAAAGATAGGTACTCAGTTTAGAGGCAGGCTAATCTTCATTTCTATTTTAGTTATAAATACTGAGGATCGAACTGAGGATGGTGTTTTTGTTGCCGAAATACGTATTCATGCTTTCCTGAATATCAATGTGGTTTTCGAGGTATATTCTGTATTTGTTTTTTATACGGGTGTGAAAGCAGCAACGGTTTTTCTGGCAACGGTTTTTCAACTTCATTTATGGTATATGGAGGAAGGACTTTTTCTTTCGCTCAAGATTTTTCTACACAAGTCCACTAACCTGAAGAAGTTGAGAAAGGCTCCTAACAAAAAAATAATTTGTGATTTCTAAACCACCCCATAACCACCCCACATAACAGAAAAATCGTGAGACAGTTGGGAGATACCTTAATCGCGATTTCATTATGTAAATCGATAATTTTACACTAATTGAACACCCTCCATACAATGAAATAATTTGTGAATCAGAAACTACCCCTCAACAACCCTCCGAATTAGAAAATTCATAAATCAGTTGAAATTACAGTTGCGCGATGTTTTTTGATGGAAATGAATTATTCTAGACCTGCTGACTACTCTTTGTAGGGTGAAATATTTTGTGAACCAAAAACTACCCCTCAGCAACCCTCCGAAGTATAAAGATCATAAATCAGTTGAAATTCCCGTTGCATGAGATTTTTTGATGGAAATGGATAATTCTAGACCTGTTGTATACGGTTTATGAGGTGAAATAATTTGTGAATCAAAAACCACCCCTCAGCAGCCCTCCGAAATAGAAAATTCATAAATCTGTTGAAATTACAGTTGCTGAAAGTTTTTTGATGGAAATGAATTATTCTTGACCTGCAGAATACACCCTGTAGGGTGAAATAATTTGTGAATCAGAAACTACCCCTCAACAACCCTCCGAATTAGAAAATTCATAAATCAGTTGAAATTACAGTTGCGCGATGTTTTTTGATGGAAATGAATTATTCTAGACCTGCTGACTACTCTTTGTAGGGTGAAATATTTTGTGAACCAAAAACTACCCCTCAGCAACCCTCCGAAGTATAAAGATCATAAATCAGTTGAAATTCCCGTTGCATGAGATTTTTTGATGGAAATGGATAATTCTAGACCTGTTGTATACGGTTTATGAGGTGAAATAATTTGTGAATCAAAAACCACCCCTCAGCAGCCCTCCGAAATAGAAAATTCATAAATCTGTTGAAATTACAGTTGCTGAAAGTTTTTTGATGGAAATGAATTATTCTTGACCTGCAGAATACACCCTGTAGGGTGAAATAATTTGTGAATCAGAAACTACCCCTCAACAACCCTCCGAATTAGAAAATTCATAAATCAGTTGAAATTACAGTTGCGCGATGTTTTTTGATGGAAATGAATTATTCTAGACCTGCTGACTACTCTTTGTAGGGTGAAATATTTTGTGAACCAAAAACTACCCCTCAAGCAGCTTGAGGGGTGGTTTTTGATTCACAAATTATTTCACCTCATAAACCGTATACAACAGGTCTAGAATTATCCATTTCCATCAAAAAATCTCATGCAACGGGAATTTCAACTGATTTATGATCTTTATACTTCGGAGGGTTGCTGAGGGGTAGTTTTTGGTTCACAAAATATTTCACCCTACAAAGAGTAGTCAGCAGGTCTAGAATAATTCATTTCCATCAAAAAATCTCTTGCAACAAGAATTTCAACTAATTGATGATTTTTACACTTCGGAGGGTCGTTGAGGGGTAGTTTTTGGTTCACAAATTATTTCACCTTACAGGGTGTATTCTGCAGGTCAAGAATAATTCATTTCCATCAAAAAACTTTCAGCAACTGTAATTTCAACAGATTTATGAATTATTTATTTCAGAGGGCTGCTGAGGGGTAGTTTCTGGTTCACAAATTATTTCACCCCATACAGCGTATACAGCAGGTCTAGAATAATTCATTTCCATCAAAAAACATAGCGCAACAAGAATTACGACTAATTGATGATTTTTACACTTCGGAGGGTTGTTGAGGGGTAGTTTCTGATTCACAAATTATCTCACCCTACAGGGTGTATTCTGCAGGTCAAGAATAATTCATTTCCATCAAAAAACTTTCAGCAACTGTAATTTCAACAGATTTATGAATTTTCTATTTCGGAGGGCTGCTGAGGGGTGGTTTTTGATTCACAAATTATTTCACCCCATAAACCGTATACAACAGGTCTAGAATTATCCATTTCCATCAAAAAATCTCATGCAACGGGAATTTCAACTGATTTATGATCTTTATACTTCGGAGGGTTGCTGAGGGGTAGTTTTTGGTTCACAAAATATTTCACCCTACAAAGAGTAGTCAGCAGGTCTAGAATAATTCATTTCCATCAAAAAACATCGCGCAACTGTAATTTCAACTTATTTATGAATTTTCTATTTCGGAGGGTTGTTGAGGGGTAGTTTCTAGTTCACAAATTATTTCATTGTATGGAGGGTGTTCAATTAGTGTAAAATTATCGATTTACATAATGAAATCGCGATTAAGGTATCTCCCAACTGTCTCACGATTTTTCTGTTATGTGGGGTGGTTATGGGGTGGTTTAGAAATCACAAATTATTTTTTTGTTAGGAGCCTTTCTCAACTTCTTCAGGTTAGTGGACTTGTGTAGAAAAATCTTGAGCGAAAGAAAAAGTCCTTCCTCCATATACCATAAATGAAGTTGAAAAACCGTTGCCAGAAAAACCGTTGCTGCTTTCACACCCGTGTTTTTTATGTAGGTTGACTATGTTGCTTTCTATGCATACATGGTGATGGTAAATCTATCATCCATTGATCAGAACATGCATTATTTTAGAAGAAGTAATCGGTTTCTCAATGAGAAGGTCTCGGGAAATCATTTATTGTCAATATCAATCATATCTTAATAATTCGATAACTGGTGTACTTGTGCGAAAAACACCTATGTATATCTTCCTATTTATGTTTACTCAAAGGCTCTGTCATCATCTTCCGTGAGTTCAAGAATTTCATGTTATTTTGAAATATCATTGATATCTATAGGAATGTATATCAAAAATTATATCGGTATTATATAGAATTTATAGGACAAGGAAATATATGTTCAGCCTACATAAGGAGTCTTAATAGTTGCGTTACCCTTGAGACATTTCTGTTGAATGTTAAAATCTTCAGAATATTATTTACTGAAAGAACTCAAACGAGCGGTCAGACAAGAAAACACATACCTACTACATAAATGGAGTACTTATAGGGATCAATCAATCAAAATAACCTCATTTTGAGAATAAACTGTTACAGTTAGGTACTTACGGCCGCTCAAAAAAGAGAGAATCTTGTTAGTCAACTAAATTTCATCAACAAATATATATATACACAAATTATTTACAGTGGCCAGTGGCTATATAGTTTTCACTAATAAGTCACAACTCACCAAATATAGTGATAAATAATAAGGTACTGATACACTTCATAGTAACACTTTCGAAACTAATCACACACTTCCAAACAAAACAACCGATCGAAACAATCCATGAAAGCGCGGGCTATCGTTGGTCACTGCTTAGCCATCACTAGATAGTACTGACTACTGGTACTATCGGCTCTCAGCTGGCACCACGCACCAAAAGAAATCATGAATGTGACCCAGTCTTCGACTTGATTATCGTTAACGGTACCTACTTACTTTACTCATAACTATAGACTGAAGAGTTGGTGTCGATATTGGTAAGTATGAATCGCGATTCCATCAATGACCATCAGCGTCAGGATATATATACAGGGTTCTAAAACTTAAATCGTCACTATTTGCTTACTTGGTGGTTATTATTGGAGCTACAGAGTCAGTCGAATGGGCAAACTAGTAGTATTTTTTTGCTGCTACGATGACGAAATCGAAAGAAAAATCGAACATCACGTCCACGAGTGATGTCAAAAGGTGTTTTTCGGTCATTTCTATTTACCTAAATGGGATATCCAGTATACAATATTCGCAATGGATGAGGAATTCAATTCTGAACAAAAAATGTAAAATAATATTTCATAGTAAATTCAAAAATGGCTAAGCTATCGACAAGAAATTACAATTACAAGAAACAAAAAAGTGAAGCAAATGTTTAGGCTGAAGTACTGAATCAAATATATATACTGGTGTTATTGAAAAAAACTGTTTCGAAAATTGAGTTTGTCTCTGTAAATATATCTACCTCTACCTATCTGATATGACAAGGGGGTCCAAAATTGAAAATAAGCATGAGAAAAACCATAATATGTTTGTTCAAGAGAGAGGATGATCTCGCCTTTATAGGAAGGTGAATAAATTTAAGCGAAATAATGTTGAGTGTGATTCCATGTTGAAAATTGAAGTTTTTGAATCGAAAGGAAAATCATCCGTTATTGAGAATTGACCTTATATGAAAGAGTTGACGAAAGAGTAGTTTTTATTTGTCTACTGATTTTTCAATAGCATATCTGATAACATCTACACAAACTAACTTCTGGCACTTATTGCGTACCTACCCATCAAGAAAAACAGTATGAAGGTTCATTTTTCAATTTGCAGAATTTTTGTTTCCCATTTTGAAAAACTTGATTCTATCTCCAAATCTGTTAACCAGATGGGCACAATGTCATTCATAGAACGTTCACAGATAATCTCCGAGAATATTTTAATATTCTTAGAATGTTCTCACAATATGATACCAATATTCTTTCAACGTTCTATGTACATTTTGAATGGACTGTTTTGAATATTCTGATAATGTCCCTGGTGGTATATCATATAGGAAAAGGAAGGAAATTAAATAAAAGCTCGTTCCTGCAAACCTATACTCTCTTGTAATTGAATTTTCACAAAGCCAATAACACCTTTTTCATTATGCTAGGAAACCTCAACACTTCGTTATTAGGAAAATTATATATAGAGCATGTAGCATATTGGGGCAAGAAAATAATAGCGCAGGTTGGGCCAGAGGAAACATTATAAATATTGATGCAAGAATAACATATATATCACATTTTGATACGATGCTGTATATTCTCAGAATATTCGGAAACAATATTCTGAGAACATGTCAAATTCGATAAGTTCATAGAATATTTTCTGCAGGATGAAAATATTCTATGATAATGCGGAGAACATTCTATCCGAATATTGAGGAATTAACATATCCGAACGTTGTCAGAATATTCATAGAATATTCTGTGCTGTCTGGGTATATGCATAGACGATATAACTTTATCAAAACTCGCTTGTCTATAAAACGATAAAAGCTCTGGTACTAATTGCCTAAGGAAGTATTCCCACCTACTTATAATCTTCAAAATTTCAAACAAGATTCCAATACCTACCTCCTCTCCCTCTCCTGCCTAGGTAGTAAGTATTCCCAAGAACTCCCCAGTGAACACAAACATCGCTGTGATGTCACATTCATGTCTCGAGAGAGTCGCTAGGTAACAATGTGAATTACAAGAAAACATCATTGAAATTGCCATCAGGGGACAAAACATTCGCAATTTGCATCACCACATTTCATTGGATTTGAGACTCAAAATGTAGGTGAATTTGTGACGCTCTTCAACAACCTAGACTCACTAGAACCTCACAGTCTTGCCTGTTTATGTAATAAACCGTATCAATGCATGAATTTTGAAGTTGAAATTGGGGGAGACCACTGATTTTTCAAAACGACATTATCGTGAACTCTATACTGAAAAACTACCAGTTAATAAATTTCGAATTTTGTCATTCATGCTAAGAAGATGAAAAACATGAATTAGAATATGTCCATTTCAAAACACACAATTCCTGTGCCATTTGAGATTTTGTCAATTCATTGGTGTGACTTTTGCGACGTCTCAGTCCCAACACGCCTATTGTCCTTGAACTGACCAATCACACTGCAACACTGCTGAATGACGAGGTATCAGAGAGAGATAGCTACAGCTCGGGACTAATACGTCACGGATCCACCATCATATTTGACTGAAATATCGAATGAAATATGCTGATTTCAAAACCATATAGATTCGATTCCCTTCAACTTCAACTCATAATATTGATTGTACATCGAACGTGAATCATGATTCGTCGATTGAAAGAGGTTTGCACGGATTTCTTCTCTCAGTGGTCTTCCCCTTCAGTTGGACTCTCGATTTTCGATTTGAGTCACGGATGTGATGTGTCGTGGCATGACTGTGATGCCCTCTAATATCTCTGCGATCAATCTGGGTCGTAATCCCCAAAAGTTTAAAAAAATCCAATACCTATACCTCTCCTTCCTATTCTCCCTATATAGAAACACACGATGTTCTTCGAACATTATAAGAATTTCCACTCGTGCACTCCAAGCGATAAAAAAAACCATTACCTAATTCGTTGAAATCAATATATCTGATCAAACAGGTTTTTCTTGCGAACTTCCTTTGAGAATCTGATAATTTTCAAGAATCAGGGGAAGATATAGCTAGGGTATAGCAAATTTTCGAAAGTGCACAATTTTCAAAGAATCCCACATAGAATCTCCGTTCAAAAGATTAGCGAATGAAAGTAGATATCGTACGAAATGACAATATTCACGAAGATAATGTGTATTATCATTCGGTCTGTTCGTTTATGTTGCTGAACTAGCTAAAGTTGATTTTGTTCCCATAGTTCTCTCTGTTCATGGCGTAATGTAAGTAGAGAAAGCCGTAGATAAAAAATAAGTTCAGCAGCAAACAAAAACGAACAGGCCTATTATATATACACTATAGGCCTGTTCGTTTGTATTGCTGAACTCGCAAAAGTTGATTTTTTTTCCCATAGTTGTCTCTGTTCATGGCATGATGTAAACAGAGAAAGTCATAGCAAAGAATCAAGTTTAGCAGATAGAGTAGAGATAAGTTACCAGACTGGTAACTTATCTCTGGATAGAGCAAGCACAAACGACTTCCTAAAATATCTTTGATATTCATCATGGTCAGAATATTAAACGCCATCTATTAGGTTCCTACTATACTAGTGATGGTTTCATACCACCAAGATTTATAGATTTCTATAGAGTCACTGTCTATAGATGTGAATAAGAAGTGCCTGATTCTTTCGAACCAATCCCACAGTGGCGGATTTGCAGTTGGGGCGGCCCTAGGCACCTGCAGTCTTGGCCACCCTAAGCCCAGCCTATGAACGTTTTTTATTGCTAACTTTCGATAAAAACAACTCAGGTTAACTATAACAGCTGCTAGGTTTCAAATATGATTGGGGCTCTCAGAGCTAGCGTCAATAAACAGATGTGCCTCCACCATCTTAACTGGACTCGGGTGCCAAAAGTAGAAATTTCCGTTTTTTTTTTCATGTTTTGGTACTTCCATTAGTTATTTCTTGTTATCATCATGGAATTTTTTGTCACGCCGCCCTGTGATCATTTTTGTAGTTATTTAGCGAATGCGCATGCCCATCGCATGCCTCACTAATGTACCACGTGATTCACTGTGATGTGACTAAGATTGCTAACTAATCTGACAACATTGAACTCTATGTAAACAACTCACTTCCAACCAGGAATGGTTCGAAAACTTTAGGATCTCGTAACAGTGTGGAATTCAAGGCCGTGCCAAATTTTTTTTTCGGAGGGGAGTGTCCAAGAAAAAAAGAACTGCTAATTCAACTTTTTTTTTCTAACTTAAGGGAAAAAGTCGGAATTAAGGTGTCTATAATTGGGACGTTTACTTTAATCTGGACAAACATAATTCAAATACACTGTATTTTGATTTTTCGACTGATATATTTTGCGAAGAAAAATGCCCGTTATAATTGGTAGAGATTTGAACTACATATCTGACAAGGTATGATTTGATCCCTTTTGTATTTTGTATTGAAATAATTTTCAAAAATTCCTCAGGATTTCTCGAGATATATATTCATGTTATAGAGATACGGATTTCATTCCATCTTAGGTTTCCATATCAAACTGTATATATTCATATACCGAGATACGAAAAAAATTATAAAAATCCAAAAACTGTAAAGAATATAGGCTCAGTTATTATTGTCATGAGTTCCATATACCAACTGCGTACATAATGTTTGATCCAAAAGACACTTCATTTAGATATCCACAAATTTTGAGAGTATATCATTGAAATCTGCTGAGGCGTTTTTTGAACAAGACCCGATGTCTCTCGGTAACGCACCATTTTCGGATTTTGAAAAGCTTTTTCAATGAAGGACACGAGCAAATCGCTTCCTGATATATGGAAAAATATCACGAAATGTATTATAGTACCTAAACGGCCATTGTAGTCTCATTTATAAAATCTTTGATCCTCTATCCTCCATCATGTAGAACAAATCGAGAGTATCTGATTTTATTCAAAATGTTTTTAGGCTTTCGTCGAGAAAATCTCAGTATAATCAACTGGAGATTATGAGATGAATAATAGGCGATGGAATACAAATGAAAAACAATGCCTTCATTAGTATTTTTTTATGAATTCAGGAACACAAACAGTTTTAAAAAGAACAAACAAAATTAACCAAGAACAACAAATACAGGAACTAAAACTAAAATAAGTAAAGGTAGCAATATACTCCAGGTACAAAATCTTTTGTTCTTCAAACGTCAACAAATGGCATTTTGTTTCCACAATTTCGCCAGCATCGATAAAAGTAGGTAACTTTGACAACTGGCCATGCTACTTTTACTCTGCAGACATCCGGCTACATTATCAGATTTTCAAATACAAATTACAAGAATTATTAGGTATTGTGGCATTTTAAGAATCAGTGCAGATTATACTATAATTTGTAATCTTGATGGACGTTTGAAGAGAAAATAGCATTGTTTATCAAGTTCATGTATAGCTTTGTGGCGTCTCAGACAAGCCACACATTTATGAAATATGCTATTTTCTGAGAATTTGGGACGAACACTGTTCATTTTGTTAAAATTCATGAAACCCAATTCATATTTTTAGTTTCATCCAACAACGTTGAGAGTTTCAGTATAGAAAAACAAGCATATACAGACTTCTGATTGACAATGAATGTTCTCACAAAAATATAAGTTCAACTATTATCATACTCTTCACTACCAATATCAATGTAAAAATACATTCATGTATGTACAATAGAATTTAAATATAAAAACACTGTTTAATTTTTTATACTAGGTAAATGACAAAAGGATGATCAAATCGACGTGCTCATGACATGTGAACCAAACTAGGATAACTCAAAATATAAGTAAGGGGTTGATAAAAACTTTGTCAGAAAATACTAAAATATTGTTACATGATACAGAAAAACAAGAGAACAAATGCATTCATGCTTTCAACCTCTCATTTGAATTTTTTCAAATTTACATTTTCAATATGTTCATCAAACACAAATCTCAGAATATTTACCGAGTTTTTCTATTATTGGGCTGGGAGCTGTTGAAACAGCAAAATAAAAGTGAATATTCTTTGAAGAATGATTACAAAATATATGCCATAATGATAGGTGTATCAAACAAACTGTCAAGAAAATAAATAAAACTAACCATAGTGAGATTATGGCAGGAACAACATTAACAGGGAGAGAAACTATGAACTAGATAAAAACTATTCTCCAGTCTTCTCTTTTGCATCAGGCATATCAGTCAAAGAGTCAGATTGTTCTAGCTTCTCTGGAACCTCATCTGAAATTCAAAATATTGGACACTCAAATAATATGAAATATCAAAAATAACATTTAAAATTAGCATTAGTTTGCAATATGAAACATATATGTTCAGTATAACAAGATGGTGTCAGTTCTACAAAAATTATAACTCTGCTGAGTATTCTTCTTCATCCTCATTGTTGTTTTCTTATGGATGGTGCCAGATGCTAGCTCATTAATTCAATTGTCAGCTTTTGATTCAAAGTATTAAATTATTTTGTTTCTAACATCTGAACTAGCATTTTACTTTCGAAACACACATTACTTACCAACTAACAAATTAGAACTAGAAGACTCATTGGATGTAAGCAATGAAGAAGTAGAGGTTTTAATACTATTTGTTTTAGACTCAACATCTGAAGCACTTGACACAGTTCTCAAATTATCAATGGAAGATGAATCAGTCTGAAAAAGATGGATTAAAAATCAATGTTTGAAAGTTTGATGGTTCTAACCTTTTCTTTGGCTTTTTGTTTCATTTGGTCTTCAATTTTCTTCAACTCTTTCTTCAAGGCAATCAGTTCTTTCTCTTTACCAAAAGGACCAACAATAGTCTCAAGGCTAAGGCTACTTGTGGATGAAGTTGCAGAAGTAATTTCTTCTTCAGCAGGTGCAGTGGGTGTAACAGGATTAACTTTGTTGTCTTTAAGCTGTTGCAAATATGCTGCACGTTCAACTTGGAGTTTGCGGCACAGTTTTTCTAGCATTGAAATCTTTTTCTGAGCATTTCTGAGATCAGCAACACCCTTTTGCTGGAGATCAGTCAAATGTAAGACTGTCTGAGTACTGTTTTGCCATCTAGTATGCCAATCATTGCGGTCCTTCTCCATTGAGGCATTAGCCTTTTGCATTTTAGTCATTTCATCTTTGAAAGAGTCAAAAACCTACCACAATACCATAAAAATATTACATTATTGGTTCAATTAACATGTTCATTGAAAAATTTAAGAATTAGGCATGGGATACTTGATGTGGTATGCCAGATACCAATACCCATTGATAAAAATTATTATAAGAACACAAGTACCTAGTTGTTCTGAATCTTATGAAAGATAAGTGGCAAATATGTGGATATACTCAGGGTTTCACAAAGGGTTTTACCACATATCCATATAATAACAGATAATATCTGGATTGTGACAGAAAATTTGATGTTCCTCAAAGCTATATGTCTACCTATATGTTCTCTATTACATTTTTTGTCCATAAAATTTACAGCATCAAGTGAAATATGAGTTTTATAAATAGATATTATTCTAGCTATACTGCTACTACTATAGCTGAAAATTCATGTTTCTGAATATATAATCAAAGAAATTTTTCTTTACCTGATTGCTCCTCTTCATGGTGAATTCAAAATCACTATACTGCTTCTGGTAGGAATCCAAATGTTCCTGAAGACTTTTGACATTCTCCTGTAGAACTTTATTAGTTTCATCACTCCTTTGCAAATTGGCTACCAACATTGCCCTCTCTTTCTGCCAAATCTCTCTTTCTGTTTCAAATTCCACTTCCACTTTTTTGAGCTGAGTATCAGAAAGTTTCTTCTGGAGATCCATTTGTCTACCCATATTGGTTAGGCGATTTTCCCTTTCTTGAAATTGGTCATAAAGTTCAGACAGTTTATTTGTCATGTTCATGTTCTCTTCATGGAGATGTAGGGATTTGTCTCTGTTTTCATCCATGAGTAGAGTCAAAGTGCTGAGTTTCTCAGTGAAACTAGATGCTACCTCTCTTCTTTTCTCTTCTTCCTCTTTAAGACGGTTGTAGTTTTCATCCTGAAATATCAATCAGAGTTAAGTTCATATTTCAGAGGAATAAACCATTAGGATACCTTAATTTCTTTATTTTGTTTCTGGAGTTCCCTAGCAAGGCTTTCCATTTTAGATCTACTCAGAATGTTCTTGGCAAGCTCAGCCTTAACATGATCTTTTTCCCTTTGTAATGTTATCATTTGTTTTTCAGTTGCTTTGAGGGTTGATACAGTTGATCGAAATTCCAAGTAGAGTTCTGTGTACTTTTCTTTAATATAGTCGAATTTTTCAGAGTAGGAAAGACTACCAATGTTTTTCACGAGATTGTCCCAAGAACGCTGATCCCTTTTGATCCTTTTTTCATCCTTTTTCTTCTTAATGGCACCTGTGCTGCTGCTGGGGCCAGCATCAACATCATTGTTAATTTTGTCTTCCATAATACCCTGTAAGATATGAGCACATTAACTGAGATTTACATCATATCTTAAGTATTCACCCTACTTTGTTACTTGAATGGTAAATTATATACTTAGTATGCTCTAGCACTTGTTACCAATCAAGGAATAAACATTAGGCCACTACCTAACATCAAAACTACATGACACTACTCAAGCAAATTATGTTTTGTTGAAGTCACTATAAAGGATAAAATACCCAATGTACTGTGTCACTATGTTACAATGAATTGAAACCAGAAATACAAGTTTCCAGCCGTCCACTACTACTACTTACTTCCTATCCTAGTACCTAAACTGAAGTGAGGTTAAAATTACAAACCGGTAAATTTGCACCAAAGCGGAGAACATATATCTACTACTCTATATATATATCTATATGAAGCATGGCTGTCCTAAAAGCGGGACCAACTTAAATCGACCAATAGGCGTTGATACCGACGTAGGGAAAAAATGATACGAAACTTGTAAAACCAATATGGCTGCGAATTTCAAATTTTTAAATTGCTTTTAGCGCGTATGTGATTGATTGTGATTAAAATTCGAATATTTGACTTTTCAGTTGTACAATTCTTAAGTGTTTGTGTTTTCGATTATTTTCCATAGATTGAACTTTTTTAACCATGTCTAGTCAAACGAAATGCAGTAGTTGTGGAGAAAAGAATAGGCAGGAATTCTCTTTTATTTCTTTCAAGATGGAATTTAAAACTTTTCTTGTTTATATATTGACCTGCACAAAGGTACCCACTTATTTACATTATATTTTAGACTCCCAAAGAACCCTGAACGAAGGAACTTATGGCTTCAATCATTGGGGATAACTTATTCCCCCAATCTCATAATATGTAGTCAGCACTTTATACAAACAGAGATGGATATAAAAAAAACAAGTTCAGCAGGTCGAAGAAACGAGCAAACCCAAACGAACAGACCTGGAGGCTAAAGAATCTCACAGAAAGCAGGCAATTACAGAAAACTGGCACAATGACACATAATACAGGAAAAGTGAACGAAAAGGAATATTTGACCACTACAAACAACTGAACTATCGAAAGCTCTCGAATCCCCTGATAAAACTGAGTGCATTTATCACTTACTTCAGTCATTGTCGGCTAAATGGGAGAAAAAATCTAGTTACAGCGTTACAGGCAACATGAATGCTTCAGCACTGCAGCAGTACGGCCCTCCGGCTCCGCCAGCCCAAATATTCAAATTCCGAACGAAAGTGTATGTCAGTGTTACACGTTGCTTGCAAACGAAAAGAATCGTATCTCAGCGGCTAGCGCTAGCGTATGACCGACTTGTATGACAGTCTACTGTGCGTATATGTTTTGAGATTGCAGAATCTACCCGTTAGATGGCAAGACGTACAAAAATGGCTCTCATATAAAAATCAATCATTATTTCTTGTTTTTTGTTTGGTAGGTATAAGCAGGGCCGATCCTAGCGGGTGTGCAGCGCGTGCCCCGCACGCGGGCGGCCAAAACAAGGGGCGGCCGCAGGCCGCATATTGTCCTATCAAACAAAATTATTTGAAACTCATAAGTCGAATGAATATGCTGCATTTTGAATAAATAAAATGATAGTAAATAGTGTGTTGGTCCATTGTCAATTTATGTCTACTTTTTATACACATTCTTATCTTCCCAAATTTTAAATTTCTATTTGAAACAATAACCAAGGGGCATATTTTTCAGACGCCTAAGGATGTTTTGTTCCATCACTGTGCGGTAGCTTATTTATGCATTTCTACTACTTACTAAGAGACTATGAGAGAAAATCCCAAAAAATCTGGTGAACATCCACTTGGTTAAACTACAGACACCATTTAAAATACTTTTCACTTGCTCTTCTTATTGTTCTTATTTTCAGATTCCAGATCATTTTATATCAATTACAATAAACTGTAATATACTATAATAATAATATAATAATAATCTTTATTCAACGAATTTTATGAGAATTACAAAAAAAAAAAAATTTAGAGAAGTAGCTATCGATATAACAACGTATTGTAATTGTTCAGTATACATATCTAAAAATTACAGAATAAAGCAAGGTACCTCCTTAAGAATCTAAGGATTCTTGACTGGAAGTGGATATTCAATATTATTGTAACTTTTTGAGCAGTAATGAAGTAATAGTTCTCTCTCTTTGAGCTATCCCTAATAATTAATTGAATATTATATAAACTGATAAATACATACTATTTCACCTATATTTATAAGAAGATAAGAAAATATTCACATATCTGGATGGCCGGAACAATTATTAAAGAAAATGTGTCGTCTCGATTATGGACTGACAATTCCATCCGAACACCGATATGAAAAATACTTTTATAAACATTCACAGAAAATTAACTAAAATAAATACAAGTTCCTAGAAATTAATTTATGATCCATTACAAGTTTTCGTGAATCAATTCATAGTTTTCGAGAACCCATTTTTTGATCTTTTTTTTTGCCGCAAATTTCAATTTGGTTTGTTGTATGTCAGTGTCCAGTAGATTATACAATTTAGGACCCGTATAGAATAGATTTTTCTGCCCAATTGATTTTTCAGGTCTTTGACTTCTCAAATGATTGTTTTGTTTGGCGCGGGTATTTATATTATGCTGAATTTGTGGAAAGATAGATTTATTATTGAAGACATATATAAGTAATACTTTCGCATAGATTTGCCTCATATCACATATTCCGTTTTGCTTATGTAGTAAAATAGTTGGGAATCTATTTTTTTTGTCAAATATAATTTTAAGAATGCGTCTTTGAATTCGTTCCAAGTAAATCAGAGTTCTTTTGTCGCATGCACCCCAGGCAATAATTCCATATTGTAGTATTGACTCGACAAGACCATGATACAAAATTCTCAGTTCATTTGGTTGCATTATGGCTTTGAGCTTTTTAAACTTATAGATCAACCCCCTAATTTTCTGACATGTGTACTGTATGTGCATATCCCATCTTAAGTGTGAATCTATTGTAACTCCGAGGTATTTAGTACTTCTCACACTTTTTATTTCTATTTGTCCATTCGCCGATGCCTTTATTGTATCAAAACTTGGGAGACCCGATTTATATGACGTAAACGGTAAGTATGCTGTTTTATCATAGTTTACAGTTAATAAATTCTGGTCAAACCAACAAAATAGTCTATCCAAGTCACCCTCAATTTTGTGTTTCAGGTTCTGCCAGTCCCTATCTTCGTAAAGTATTACAGTATCATCGGCGAATGAAATAATATCCCCTTCTGATCTTAAGGTAAGCAAATCATTTAAATAGATTGTAAACAGCAGGGGTCCAAGAACTGTTCCTTGTGGTACTCCACAGCATACCACTCGTGGTTCACTAATTTTATCGTTCATCACAACATATTGCTCTCTATTTGACAAGTAACTTTTTAACAAATCTTGTGCGATTCCTCTCACGCCAATATTGTTCAGTTTTTCGAGTAGTATGCTGTGGTTCACCGTGTCGAATGCCTTCGTCAAGTCAATGAAAACGGCAATACATGGCTTCTTGTTATCAATGTTTTTATAAATTTGTGATGTCAACTTCACTATTGCATCCTGAGTACTGATCCCTTCGCGAAAACCATATTGTTTATTCGATAATATTCCATTTTTTTGTAGATATGAATTCAACCTATTTTTTATGATATATTCGAATATTTTGGTGCAATTTGTAATCAAGCTAATCGGCCTATAATTATTTATTTGCTGTTTACTACCACTTTTATGCAAAGGCTTAACTATAGTAACTTTAAATGCGGAAGGGACGTATCCAGTTTGTATTGATTTATTGATCACATGTGCCATGGGTCTTGCAATATAAGGTGCAATAATTTTCATTGTTTCGCTTTTTATAGAGTCAATTCCAGGAGCCTTGCCATTTTTTAGTCCATTCATGAACATCAAAACTTCTTTCTCATCTGTTGGCCGTACAAACATAGATTTATTGAGGCGCTCGTGTGGAAATGTATATTTATTATTTATCGAAATTTTTGTTGCTAAGGCTTCACCGATTTCCGAAAAAAAATCTACGAAGGCATTGGCTTTATCTTCATATTTTTGTAATGTGACATTATTGACAACAATATCACCAATGTATGTATTTTTTGTCTTATTTGTGACTTCACTGACAACATCCCATAATTTTTTAGAGCTCAAAGAGTTTTCATTAATCTTCTCTCGGTAATATTCTCTCCTGGCTTTTTTAATCAAAGTGATTATTTTGTTTCGCAATGTTTTGTATTCCCTTTTGATGTATTCATTCGTTGGGTATTTCAATACTTCCTGATACAAACTATCCCTTCTATTCATTGATGTAATGATGCCGTTGGTGATCCAAGGATTTCTCTTTTTCAATCGGCAACGGATTGTTTCTTCGTTATTGTTTATATACCGCTTCAAAATATCTAAGAATATATTACAACATTTCTCTGTATCGTTTTCTGCATACACATTTTTCCATGATTCATTTTTAATTGCATTTATCAATTTTTGATTATTAATTTTTTTGTAGAAATTTTCTTGGCATTGTTGTAATGGTCTGTTTGCTAGCGGTAGATTCAAAAAAGTAGGATAATGATCTGTTATATTCGATTTAATTATGACTGGGTTTATTTTTTCTAAAATTTCGTTTGGGCATTTCAAAAATATATGGTCTAAGCATGTATTTGATTCACCCTGTTCTCTTGTTGTATTGTTGATGACGGAAGTAAAGCCATATTCACTGAGCAGATTTATATATTCACTTGATATATCGGTATTCACTAATAAATCTATATTTATATCGCCTAAAAAGAGCGACACGTTTTTAACTTTTTTATTTTGTTCAAGTAAGTCTGCAAGGGATTCTATAAATTCAGTCGGATTTGTAGAGGGTGGTCTATATGTAGATATTATATTTATAGAGATTTCGTTCTGTTTTATTTGCACATTAATGAATTTGAAATTATTTATTTCAATAATCTCAAATTCAACAATGTCCACAGTATTTCGTATATACAGTAGCGCACCATCACACTTATTTATTTCACCTTGATTGTATAAAATTGTATAGTCATCTATATTATAGTTTGATACATTACATAACTTCCTTGTTTCAGATAGTGCTATAATATCTGGACATACTGGAAATTGACTGAGAAGGATCATGAATTGGTCCATATTTTTTTCCAAACTACGAATGTTTGCATGAGTGACTATGAGGCCTGTTTTACCAATCAGGGTTGGATTTAATTCGTCTAGTTTAGTTATGCTAGTTGTTTTGATTGGATCATTCCTGAAATCCCTGATGAATTGATTCATTCTAGCTTTCATATGAGATTTTTGAGGTTATAAAATGGTTAAAGACATATAATTATTCATGTATCTGATAATTCTGAGAATGATGCTTATTCACAACCTATACCTACTAATTAAACATAGCCTCAAAACATCATATGGCTAAAGTTTTATTTCATATATAATATTAAGAATTTCTCATGGTGGAGAATATGACAATAAGGAAATACAAGAAAGAAATTTACAATATCACTTGATTAATACACTTATAGGATTCCTCAACGATGATTCGAGGACTGGGACTGTGATCTTGTCTTGCTTCGGCTTGATTTTTCGATCATGGAATTTGGTGATTGTTGGAACTTTCTTTTCTTCTCGATTTTATCAGTTATAAGCTCTGTGTCCCCAGCATTGTTGATTTGTTCTGTCTCATTTTCTTGAGTTAAAAGCTCTTCATATGAGAATTCTTTGCCATCGATAGTCAATATGTTATTCTTTATGAATGCACTTAAATTATTTTTCCTGGCTTTGACTAAGTACTTATGGATTAACTTCCGTTTTGTATATTCTTCTTTTGTGATACTAATGTGATGAATTTGAATCCCAACAAAAATTTCGCCTGCGGCGCATTTTTTGCCATAGGAAAATTTTGTCTGAGTTTCTTGGCCGCTCCCGGTATGCACTGAAATGGAGTTATTACCTGAAAGCATTTGACCTTGAACTCAGAAAAAATTCGCCTGCGGCGCATGAAGATATTGTCTACATTTTTTTTCTGTGTTTTACTTCTTATCCTTGTACAAGTAGTTGAAGTTATGAAGTCATCAGGTATTATAGTTAAAAAATATGAAAAATTCTCTAGAGGGGCGGCACATTAGGTTTATGCACGCGGGCGGCCGACACCCTAGGATCGGCCCTGGGTATAAGCAATTATTTTCTGTTTTGAAGTTAGTAGGATTCATCTTAGTAGGTATAGGTATAGGTATGTTTTTTTTAGTTTCACTCAGATGGGGCCCATTCAATATATATAATTTTTTCATTTAACAATCAACAAAATATGGTTCCTTAACTATCAAATTCTGTAAATTCATCAGCCATCAGCTACCCACACACTATAATACTTCATCGTAATGGTATTGATTTGAAATAATCTCATGAATCATGAATCGATTATATCTAGGTTATGTCATGATGTCACATGCGAAACTGAGACACAGATAAAACCAGGGAATAAAACATAAATCTATCCTAGGTATATATAGGTATAAAATTTCATATCTTTGTTATGGAGGGTCATAAAAGAAACCAGGCAAACTTACTGTTGGTCCTAGAGGATCCTTCATTTAGGTTTTAGAATATCTCACTGAAAATGGACAATTTCAAACATTCGATCAACAATAAATTTCCGTCACGAATTCACCACTCCAAGCAATAAGCATGGTTATTTATTTTTGGAATGCGTTGCTAAGATTAGCGCAGTCTACTCTACTATATTATATAAATGTATACATAGAAAACCCAAACAATATATATATTTGAATTTTTACCGCCAGTAATTATTGGTATAGGTACATATCTCGGTACATTTATAGTACCTGAATATGGTAGGTATATAGGTATATAGGCATTGTCGGTCATTCGGGCCCCCCTGAGGATTGGGGGCCCTGATGCGGGCACGGGTCCCGTGTGCCTTTTCATGGTAAGAACGGTATATTGATTATTAACCCCCACGTTGGCAAGGTGACTGAATTGATCTCCACTGGTAATGTGGGGTGTAGAAAACTCAGTATAAAAGATCATTCCCAAATTCAGATATTCTTACTTCAAGTATATTATGCGTATTATGCGAAATAAAAATATCAGAAATGAGATGATAATGCTTTTTCACGAATGCTTATAATATTGAAAAGACAAATCCCATTCATCGTTTATACAAGAGAGTAACCTATCAATATGGAAAGATATGATGTCAATGAAAATAGGATAAAGAAATAACGATTACAAAAAAAACACAATTAAAAATTTGATTGTTCCTCGAAATGGGCACATTTTTATACCGAAAATCCCATTAACTACATGAGTATCAGGGGCGAATCCAGGCGATGTTTGAGGGGAGGGGGGCATTGAAAGGTCTCGGCTCAGCATAGCAACCAAGAGGAATTATTATTGTTACTTTCTAAGGCAGATGCTTTTTTATAGTTTCCTTCTATAAGTATATAGGTATATCAAATTGCCTATTGTAGAAAAACATGTTCAATTCAACTTTTCAATATATTTCATAAATATACTAGCTAACAGACAAAAAATGCCCAAATTATAGCCATAGCGCCAGTATTGACTATCCGATTTAGAAAAACAAAGAAGAATATATTCTCACAAGGTGCACTGAACGTTCTGAGAATATTTCAAAAACATCCAAATGGAACGAAAATTCACGGTCCAATAACGTTCGCATAATATTTTTCAGAATTTCTCAGAACATTTTTACCTTTTTCAGAGTAGGTATATCTAAATAATATTTTCTATGAACATATCTGGAGAATATACCGAGACTATTCGAACAATACATTCTATATATGATCATGCCTGAATAACATTTATAGAATATAATGAAATATTCTAGGAACGTTAGGGTTTAAGATGGAATGTTCCATGAATATTCAGAACATCCTCATCATATTCTATATCTTCCGGAATATTCGGAAAGAGGTACGTTCTGAACATTGTTAGGACATTCATAGAATATTCTGTGCTGTCTGGGATATGAGGAATACTATCATTTGCAAAGCGTTTTCCCTGTATAATTATCTAGCCCTCGCAGCTTTTCCTGCATAACTTTGGTTGACATCTCACCTAAGTCGGAGAATGATTATTAAAATTACAGGGCGAAATCAAATCAAAATCAATCAAAATCATGATTCAAAAGAACTTTTGTTCAATTCTATATCGGGACTCAAATCAAATTTTGTAAATGTCTGTAAAAACAAGTCGCCGAAGCAGATAACTCATCAGGAAATTAAAAAGGGAATATAATTTATTAAAAACAAAGTTTCCACATACATAATGAAATTAGTGTATAAAAACGAATAAAATTATTGTCTTGTTCCAACAGAAAAAAACCGCGACACGTTCCCGGAAATTTTCATTTTAACATAAGAATTTAGTTCAATGAAGAAATGAGATGTTTTTTAATAAAAATAATCGTTATTTTTTTGAACTATGTTTCTCTTGTTCAGATATATATAGTGTTCTAGCCTCATTGAACCGTGTTTTTCATTAATTTCTGTGAATAATGAAGAACAATATGTTTCTATAACTAAATGACTCGTAAACTATTTATATAGTCACCATTGGTTCCATTGAATTAATAACGAATGCATTTCGCTTATCAAATACCTAAACAGATATTTTGCATGATGGAATAATAAAGAATGTATAACTACTTATAACAAATTATCCTCAAACGATTTCCTGACCACACGATAACAATAGGTGTTTTCACATGTAGTCCATTCATTGGAGGATAATGGCTTTAGATAATTCATTAATGCTTATATGAATGACCACCTATCTCATAGAAAACAATATCAATGTTTAAAATAGAGGATTGTATAAATAGTGCACTAGAGGTCCGAAGTTCTAAAAGGTACAGTCTTGGGACTAATATCAATGACACTATCATATCAAGCATGATGAAATGGCAATTGCTCAAACAAAAGGCTGAAAAGTACATGATAACTACGAAACAAAATGGATGGATTCTAAAATACTAACTCGCTAAGTATAAAAATAAAAGAAATTGGAACTTTCGTGAATATACTTAACACACTCTGGATATTGGGTCACGCAGTGAGTATACTCAGACCTAATTCAGTAAAATTCTTAGGAATATCTATAGATCCAGCATCTGGGACCAACATATCCAAAATGTCGCACAACCCTGAGATGATTGTATCAAATTGCTAACGAATATTCTAGAATCTAGAACATAAGGATCTGAAAGCAATTTATTACCTACGTTGCTATACTATAATATGGCATTTTTGGATGAGGTGGTGCTGCGAATACACATTCAAAAAGATTTCAGGTCATAAAAAAAAGATTTTGAAAATAATGTTGAAAGAGGAGAACACCTACTTCTATAAGATTATTTCAAGACACGAAAACTTTCGACATACAACTTTTGTTACTAATTGTTATAAATCAGTCCATTAAAAAATAATCTACCAACTCGAACGAAACACAACTCGAACAAAACATTATAGGAATACGAAATTGTTATTACATAATATGCTCGAAACTATATATTGTCAATTTTTTCTTTCATGATTGAATTGACTATATGTCTTTTTGTTCGTCTACTGAAGATGTTCTGGTATATTCCAATCTATTTTTGTTTTTCAAAATTAATATGTGTAATTAAGTATACATTTATTTGAAATTTTGTTTCTAATCATACAATACTTTGTTTTGAAATATTATTTGATGTTATTCTATTTACAGGGTGAGTCAGTTTTATGTAGCAGGACCCTTAAACATATTTTCAACATGAACATTTTATATATGCGTGGGAGCATCGTTTCCGATATACAGGGTGTCAAAGTTTGAGATTTCATTTGTGTATTTTGAGTTTTTTCCAACAATTATTCTCGTCATGGTACATGAATGATTCCAAAGTATATTCAAATATTTCTGAAGTATTCGAATAGTTGTGGAGTAAGTATTCAAATATTAATGAACATACTATTTGAATACATGATTTTCCGTATATAAAACGTTGAAGATCAATATTCTTGGAGTAAGCATTCAAATATTCTCGATGAATATCTATAAATACTTATGGTGTTGGGGTTTTCTAAAATTCTTCAAATGGGCTGGGAATATTTTAATAAGTATTTCAGATCTATTCAATATCTTTACACAGCAGTTCCTTTTTATATTATATTGTCGCAAATTAGTATTTGCGACAATATAAGTAGTGTTAGTATGTTCAAATGTATATTCAATATAATAATATGTTCAAATGTATATTTACATTTACCACCTCTGGTATATTCGAGTACCTATAGGCACTGAATATTATTCGGATACTGGAAAGTATTTATGAATAGGTATACACACGATGTTTCTCGAACATAATAGGTATTCGCTTTGGTGCGCTCAAAAAGATTACAAAAATAATAATTCCCAGCATTGCCAAATTTTAATCATAACATTTTCCAAAGTACCTACGATATCCTTGCTAGTGAGCCTCCTAGACTAGATGATGCGCAGTAATTATTCTCATTATGATAATTTCCCCCACGTCGTCGTTGAGAAAAAAATCATCAAGAGTGGCTTAGAAAACGTTCTGTGAATTCAAACTAATCGAATTAGCAATTGATGATTGTTTTAATGTTGTGTGACCACTGCAGAATACCATAAGAATACTATTTAAACAGGATGCCATAAGTATAAGCATAATAATAATGTCTTACAGTATACCTATATACGCGTGCGGCGATTTTTATGCCATGCCACGTGACGTAGCTTCATCTTGGCCGGCTGAAAATTTTTCTCTTAATTAGTATTGAGTGGTGATTGAGCCGAAAGGAACAAAATATTGAGTGGCTGTCACAGTTGATAGAAACAAGTGAGTTAATTATTCATTCCGTGTTATCATTCGATTATTAGGTGAAAGGATCATTTAAAGTTTTCAGACCAATTTCTCGAAACTGAAAACTAAAAAAAAAAATTGTTTTGAAGATTTTTGATAGCAGCCAAATAATAAATGATTACAAAGATTTGAAAATGTGTGATGGGCCCCTTTAGTTTTTGGAAGCAATTTCTATACTAGGAAATTTTATTAAACTAATAAGTTATGAATATTCGGAGATCGATCGATCAAGAAAATGACACGGTGATGAAGAGGATACATTTTCAATATCTTTCATAATAAAAATTTCTAATTCTTTTATAATCTGACTTGCTAATTAAGTGGTTCGTTCATGTGTTTGAAAATAATCCACTGACTTTAAGCTTTAAGTCCTATTATACTCATTGCTCGATCATTCATAATTAATACGTCTATGAACTACAAACACTATCATGATAATTTCACATCATTTTCAAAATATCTGATGTTGAAAAGGAATATTTACTCTTTTTCAGTTAATTCAATAGAAAATAACTACTTTCCTGGCTATGTGTCACGACGAACATTGAATTATATCTATTGAACACACACGATAAGAGTTTGAAAATAAAATATAAAAATTTCTGAAATTGAGAATTTGCATTCTCCTTCAGACAAAAATATGTATATACACACATCATTCTGAATATTCAACAGAAAACAACTACTTTCCTGGCTATTTGCCACGTCGAACATTGAATTATATCTGATGAACATTCAGAAGGGAACATGAAAAATAAAGAATAAAATCCTCCGAAATTGAGAATTGACATTCTTCTTCAAATCGGATGAATAATATGATGAATAATGATCTAGAAATATGACTTACCAATATATTCAGCATTGAAATGAAAATTGGAATGTATAGGAGAAGTATACTGGCATGAACTCTGATCTTGATGAGCTTGAAAACGTCCAAAAATAATCATTCATATCAGTGATATGGGAAATATTATCTCTCACACACAGGTTATATGACTTTATTGCAATGAACCCATTTCGGATCTCTGAATCCTCATCAGTAACCATGATGTCCACTTATTCTTACAGCCATTCTTCATGATATACACAATTTTCATCTCTATATAATACAACTAGTATACTTCTCCTATACATTCCAATTTTCATTTCAATGCTGAATATATTGGTAAGTCATATTTCTAGATCATTATTCATCATATTATTCATCCGATTTGAAGAAGAATGTCAATTCTCAATTTCGGAGGAATTTATTCTTTATTTTTCATGTTCCCTTCTGAATGTTCATCAGATATAATTCAATGTTCGACGTGGCAAATAGCCAGGAAAGTAGTTGTTTTCTGTTGAATATTCAGAATGATGTGTGTATATACATATTTTTGTCTGAAGGAGAATGCAAATTCTCAATTTCAGAAATTTTTATATTTTATTTTCAAACTCTTATCGTGTGTGTTCAATAGATATAATTCAATGTTCGTCGTGGCACATAGCCAGGAAAGTAGTTGTTTTCTATTGAATTAACTGAAAAAGAGTAAATATTCTCATCACATAGAGAATGCGAATTCTCAATGTATTGCTTTATATCAATATATATCCTTTTTTGTATGTTCATAATTTATCTGAGAATATTCCTTTTCAACACTTTCATACCCAATCAGGGGGTTCAAACTTGAACGATGGAAACTTGTGATTTTTATAGACCTCTAATCGCAGATTCGTGATAGAGTCTCAATTCAGAATTCATTTCCACGCCCTGTATGATGAATGTCAATTTATCATACACCCAAAAGCAAAAATATCTGATGTATAATTTTATCCACAATACTATGAGCTGCAATAATTTCTTAAATATTTACTATTCATTGCAAGTTTCTGATTTTCTTTGAAAAATAATGTATATATATATTCTCTATATACTTTCCCCCCTATTATTCGACGGTGTAACTTATAGCAATAGTTCATCCAACGAACAACGAGGCTCTGGAACACATTGCCAAGGGCGGTGTTCCCCGAGGCATATAACCTCCAGAAATGTAAGAAGAACACCAATTGCTACCTAATTTCCCTTGGTTCTCACGATATTCTCTGAACATAGAACATAAAAAAAAATTGTTTATAGCAATTTTTCTTCAGCTTGTGGAAATGCAGAAAAACTCATGAAAATTTCAAAATTCAAAATCACGACGACGTTTAAAAGAATAACATTGACTCGGATAAAAATAAATTCTACCTCCTGGCAGTTCGGAAAGTTCTGTCAAAATCAGAACATATAGGTAATTTCTAAAGGATCCAAAAAATGTAAGAAAATTTATTCATGCAAACAACCAATTATTGATTTTCGATTTCGTCTCTAGTTTCATGTTATTGACGCAATTCATCGGACATCTCGTTAAATTTAGAATATGGGTATCTCGCACCGAAGCATTACATTCTCAGTCACATATTATAACAACTGCACCAAAAATGCATAAAAAATATAGAATATGATTCTTTAGCCCATTCAAAAAATCGTTTTCTTATCATAACTTCTATACTGTTCTAAATATTTCCATGAAATTTCACATGCACCAATAGTCATTTTTTGATGCAGGAAGTTTTTCAATATTTTCACCATTGGCGTCTGAATGGGATGTATACTGCAGATTTTTCTGAAGATATATGATACACCTTTACTTTTTACAAAAACAAAAATCATTTTTGAATTACTCATTTCGTTTTGCAACAATTTGACTTCGTGATTTTTATTCCGTCAGACGCACCGTTTTCACGTAAAAATATAAAAACCATTTTGGCTTATTCAATCAATTGACTTTACTTGAATTAGAATTAGGCAAAAACACATCCTATTTATAAGCCACATAGTGCTTAGTAGGTGTACGTGAAATTTCATGAAAAAATCTAGAGCAGTGTATTGAAGTTATGATAAGAAAACTAATTTTTTCTAAAATTTCAACTCCCTATTGCTCGAAAGTTAAGAGGTTCAGGGCATATGTTTATATGATCTTTTCTTCTCAAAATGAGCTAAGGAATTATGTCCTATATTTTTAGCCATCAATTGAATCACACCTTGTATAGTTTTGGTGTCTTTAAAAATATACACAAGTTCATTTGGATTGCATTGCGAACAAATAAAAAACATATTCCAAGAAGATGAATGAACGTTTGGTTTTACACAGCACCCTGTATCTCCAAAATTACGAGCCTACTCAATTTTCTGCTGGGAATCTACCTCTGAATTTTTTTCACATTTACTATGAACTACCTATACTTTATGTAGAACTTGTTTATCCTATTCAAATATGTCGATAGGTTGAACAGGAAATCGCCATAACATTTCGAACAAAGCAAAACGGTTAACAATAAGATTATTTCGAAGAGGGCTCTTCTATTTTTGCATAAAATTTTCGCATGTAATCAACTTCTGAATGATTGGAATATAAATTACACTTAATAAATGAATTGGGTACCAATATATTCTCCCACTTGCTTTGTGTACTGTGGGTAACGTTCTTTCCTATGATATTTATTTGACATTTTGAATCCTAGAATTGGTAGAATTCTATTTGGGAAATTATGTTGGGATTATTTCCAAATTTTCCCAAATTGCTGAATTGATTTGGTCATATATAGGACTGCTAATTTAATAGGTATCTACCAAAAAATGAGGCTAGTACCAATAATGTTTAGTATTTTATTTTTATCTTGACTACTCAGGTACAGGGTGATTCACCATAAATTCTCCTCCTGTACCTGTAACGAAAGCCAGTTGGCGGTACTACCAATGGAAAACGAAAGAAATGAAGGAGGAACACTGGTAACAATATTTTATTGATTATATTCTGAGGAAGTCAGATGCAACATTGTTTAATAATACCATGAGTTCAAATAAATTGATTTAGCTACTTCATATACCTTCTTAGTTATCGGCAGTATCGCTTGAAAACTCAAAATCAGAATAAGCGCATCCATCCAATCATTTATTATTATATACCGAGGATATTTGAAAAAACCTCAAGTAAATCGGCCTATAAGGAAGAAAGTCACATGCAAAGTTATACTAACCCATTTTATATTATTGGTGCTGAACTCAAGAAAATCAACAAAAACAATAACTGGCAACTGTTTGTGAGTAACAAAACGACCCAGTGGTTATAGTTTTAATTGCAATAATGAATTAAAAGTTCATTATAATTGCAACAACATGAATGAACAAAGTAGGTGGTTAAATACAGAGAATATAGATGCAAGGTAAATGAAACTTTCGGAAGTTTCAATCAGAACGTAGATTTATTTACATTAGTGAGTATATGTACAGTCGTCTTCAGAGAACATGTCGCACATGAACGATGTCAGCTCTCTCTTCATAACGTCCAGCCGCGACATATTCACTGAAGACGAGTGTAATTGTATTTCAACTTGTGAATTTTCGAAGATAAGCACCATCAGTAATTTCATATTATGAACTTAGAATCAACGAGACATATGGAATATTGCTGCTACTACCCATATTTTTCCTGTATGAAAATTTCTGATTTATATTTTTTCATTATTCTTCTATCTCTTTATTCAACTAACGTTCATTCAAGAGATATTTTGTGATAATCACCCCATTTGTTGCACAGTTCATTCCACGCAGGTGATACACAGGGTGATTTACCTAAAGGTGCGAAGAATTATTAATATTAAAATATTGCGAATTTGAAAAAAATCTTGGAAACAAAGTTGCGAATATCTTCCGATTTTCAGCAATACACGTCCTCCATTAATCCATCACCACCTGGCACTGTTCTAACATATTTTCCGATATATTATCGAACACATACCACGAAATGTTCATGCACTGTTCCATATATACCATACCATATCCCTGTGAAGTTGAACTTACTTAGCGCGATCTGCAAAAAATGTATTAGGTATTTTTTAATAAGCAGACTCATTTTTATTTTTGTACTAATAGATACATCAGCTTGCATAATAATATTATGTGACTGAAGTTGATACTGCGGTTATCACAACTGCGATCTTGAGAACCTATAGATAGATCCCTTCGAATAAATAGGGCTTCGAAATCTTTGAAACCTGATGACATATTTGGTCACTGTTATAAATTTCAAGTCCGTTGTTGATGCTCATAAACAAAACTATAATATTCATACAATTCTGAAACATTTTCAACCAACGGATTTTGTTTTCAAATACCTAAATGATATTCACTATGTAAACAACGTGAACTCTTGCCATTATTCTCGGTTTCATGGGATTTTATTACACTTTATGCAAGATATCTATAGTACTCGTGATTATATTATTTGAAGTTTTCTTCGAAATATTTCTAAGACTACCTACTTACATCTGTTGTTCATTGCTCAGTCCAAAGTTCAATCGATCACATTTGATCAATCCACGTCAGCACAATCCTTTTCCTACCTATACATATATACAGTGCTGACCAGAAATGGCAATGTCATGTCAATTCATTATTGAGGAGATTTATCTTCATTCAGTCAACCGATCTGATGAGTCCTTCAATTTATTCGAGGAATCTCATTTTCGTTTTTGGATGTATGACAAATTGATATTCATCATATACAGGAAAGTAGTTGTTTTTTGTTGAATAAACCGAGAAAGAATTGATATTTTTATCACATAGAGAATGCGAATTCTCAATGTATTTCTTTATATATATATATCCATTTTTTCATGTTCATAGTTCATCTGAGAATATTCCTATTCAATAATCTCATTTTCAATGAGCGAAATCCAATATGGCTGCCATTGAAAAAGTTCACCGCGAGATCTCCTCTACCCTCCAAATAACAACACGAAAGCTGGTCCATTTAAGAGATTCAATGGGATTCCTTGAAGCATGCGCATTTGAAACATGTTATACTTATAATTTCCTTACTCTTACCCATATTTTCGAACACCAGAAATGATAGTCGAAGTCGATGTCGTATACATATTGGAGAAGCTGAAGAATAATTTCTGAAAATTCACACTTGATATGGAACAAGATATCAGCGAATAGGTGATAGAAAACAATTGAATGAATAACAATTGAATGCGAATCTACGTGTCTCACCTTGAAAAACATGGACCGAAAAACCAACATAGAATTTTAATGGAACCATAAATCACTTTTTTCAGGGGACTTGAAACATGTGAATCCGATTCTGACGGAAACCCGAATTTCGTGAAGTCCATGCAAAATTATCCGATGGTAGATGCATGGTCTTTCAACATTTTCCGATTTCAGTATTTCACATTAATATCCAATTTTCTCCCAAAACAGATAGTTATCGTTATCTACCGGATCATAACTAAATGAGTCCAGGAAAACAAGCAGTTTCAAGTGTTGATTCAGATACTTATAACGAAATATTCAATAATGAACTCGCAAGTGTTATCTGCTCTATTATCCACCAGAGTATCTGATGATTTTGAAATATGTACATATTTATATGATACCTATAGTCTAACGAATATTCTCAAAATTTTTCCTTTCGCGCGGTAATTTCGCGTCAGAATCGCTACAGTGTAGAAAAATGACTCTAGTTAATTCAATTCTGATCTCTAAATGTGTATCTTCATCGAAAGTAAGAGTTTGCTCCCTCATTATTTGAATACACAAACCTTTCAATTAACTCCCACGGGAGGAACACATTTTTATCTCCCGTGGGAGTTAAATTAAATTGGCTTCAGCTTGCTTCCATGGTACATGGTACATACTTATGAATTCTGTACTACGCAAGTACCTGATCATAAATACATGCTATAAAACAAATGATGAAACAAATGACAATGTCCCTTTTTGGACTCCAATGACCTCATATCCTTCCCCATATTCCAAACTTACTCAATAAAAATTTTCAAATATAATTACACAATCAACAAATTCAATATGACAGAAATGTCAAATTTATTCTCGTTCAGATTCAAATACTTTCAATTGTCCACATACTTTTCATTTTACATTCGATGGTATACCAACATACCGTGAGCTTTCTTCAAGTTCAAATTATGTGTATTCATTTCAATGTCACCCTGTATGAGACGGTGTTTCAAAATTCAGAATCGAGATTTCAAGGGCTTATTTTTCAGGTCAAAACAACACTTATGTCAACATATGTCCGCAAACGCTTCTTTACCGAACTGAAGAGCGTTAAAATTTCAACTTATTATTAGTTTTTTTCCTCATATGTCGAGCGCTTGTGAGAATCTACATGGAAATATTTTTTCAGGGGTCAAGTCCTTATTTTTCGCTTCATAAACTCATTTGTGATGCGCCACTGGTGAGTTTTGAAATACCAAAATAAATGAACTTTTTTATACCCTCTTCTGTCGTTATTTTCACGTATCTGCGACCGTTATAAAAAAAGTTGAAATCATTTTTGTAATTCGCTAGATTTATTAAAAAAATTTCATAAATAAGTTTATGTAGCGAAAAGGAGCTTAACCTCTGAAAAATCATCTCCTTGTTGATTCTTACAATCGATCGCTCGGAAAACTCTATGATATGAACCCTAAAAGGTAAGTTATGTTTCAAATTTGATCAGAATATCTCGAGAAATGAAAGAGCTACAAAGAAAAAAATATTTGAAACTTCAACGGTCTCGTAGATTAAAGACTACGGTCTGTAGATCGGTAACGAAGCGTTTGCGAACACATATTCATAGGGAAAAATCGTATTTCCACCTGAAGATTAAGGCCCTGACACTGAAGTTTGAAACACCCTGTATTATAGTGGCGAGTTTCAATTTATCAATATCACAGAGTGCACCTTATGCAAACCTCCCCAGGACCAATTCGTGGCAACGCTACTGATAATCTCTTCCGCAATGTAGATCTAATCGCCCAAAATTGAAACCTATCTTTGATTTCAGTTTCGAAATTCATCAGAGAGAGCTCCGCAAGTCGCATACGCTCAGTGACTCAGTATTGATGCACACCTCCTAGAGAAAGGTCCTAGTGTTGTCGAGTGGTACCCTCTCGGCGGGATGCCGAAACTACAGAGGGCACAGTTCAGCTGTTACTAAAACGCCACAACGAACCACCCGTAAAACAGAAGTTTTCCACTCGTGGCCACCAATTGTACCTAGTCATCAAAGGTCATGGAACGTGCTAACTCACTCTACACGGTGCTAACGACCATAGCTTTCCTTATTGGGCTGGCGGGAAACCTAGCTGCCCTATGGATCCTGCACAAAACTGCAAGAAGGCGGAACAAGAAGCATTTGTTCATGCTCAGATGCCTAGCCACTAACGATATTGTGGCCCAGATAGGAATGTTGTTGTTGTTGCATTTGTTGAAGGCCGGAGTTCTTCCAACGTACTTGGGATGCTCGGGTTTCGTTCTCGTAAGGGCTTTCGGATTAGGGTCTGGCTGTGTGGCGTTCGTTATGGCCCTCGAAAGGTGGCTGGCGCTGACTAGACCTTTCTTTTATCACCAGGTACGTTATTTTACCTGCTCTGTTTAAATCATACCTTTCTCTCTGAATAAAGAGAGTTTGTGAGGTAGAGAGGACTGATGTCTCAATATTTAGGTTCCTTATGGTTCTGCTCATGCGTGGGTGTTTATTTTCTACAACTGAAACATTGAGCACGCGCAGAACCCACCCAGTTAACTCAGATTGATCCCAGCCATATCAGAGGAAATCATATTCATGTCACCAGAGAAAGACCTTGCTATATGATATGAATTGAGACTCCAACTAATCAATACCTCAATCAACGCTCCAACTGAAATCACAATGGCTGATCTTCTGGAACCCTTTGGTCATTTATTATTCACATTATGGTGCCAAATGAAACTCTGAGTTAATAGCGATTTCTCATTCAATATCTAAATTAATCGATTGATTGGCTGTAATTTGTTGCATTGCCAGACATGACAGAATTGAAATCCCAGTGAGTTTCTCTGTTGTTAGGGTTCTTCACAAATTCAGCCACATATTCATCTCAGATCCAACAGAATGAGACGATAATTGCGAAGGTTTTGTCAAATATGTATTATTGTAATTTGGTTTGTTACCTTGCTAGATATGAATGCGATCTCTCGGGGATAGGGGATATTTTTTGTATTTAATGGGATTCTAGAACGACTCTAAAAAGAAAAAAAACAGAAACACTTTATTGCGAATGACGAGAAGTTTAGAAGCTGCTTACATAATTTTTGTAGAAATAAAACGAAGAAATATCACTTATGGAATGTTTATGTTGCGTACGCTCAAAAATCTTGAATACCTATACATTCCTACTATGATCAGAAAACCCAAATAAATATATCTGCCAAAATATTCTTAATTTGCCAGTACTAGGTAACTACTAACATCCCATCATGGTCTCTACCGACTGAAACTTATACATGCACTAAGTGATACACAGAACCTGCTGAGCTGAAACTGCTAAAATGTCACGTTTTTGTTTCAAGAGAAATATACCGCGGGTGCCTCAGATCCATTGTACCCGTATCTTCCTTATTATTATTTTGATCAGATATTATAGTTGTTATCGAGGTTGTTATGGATAGTGGGGTCATCTCGAATTTTAAATCAGGACATATCATGTTTCACCGTTTCACCAAGACAAATATTATCTGAAAGATGTTCAGTTCTGAAGAACAAATTTTGTTTCACTCCTTATGGAAGCACCCCCGTATCTTTTGTATTTACTGAGGCTTGGTTTATGAACTTGGTTATCTCTTGTAATTTCTACGCATCTGGCACCGTTATCGAGAGAAAAATTTTAAATTCAAAATTGTTAAAAAAAGGAAAGAACCTATTATCACATTAAAAAAACTTTTTATACTGAAATGGTGCTGGAAAGTAAAAAAATCTTGAAAATCTAACGTTTCGTACATCGTAGGTAACCAAGCGTTTGCGGGCACATATTTATAAGAAAAGTTCTTGAAATCTTGATACTGAAATTTGTAACACCCTGTATATAAGTACAGTGCTCACAAGTACTGTGGAGGTATTTGAAGTGGCCCTTATATAAGAACCATCGATGGGTCGTATATTGTAAAATCAATAACGGCATATTCGAGGTATGATGGTTCAATGGGCCAACAGGCCAACAGGACATGTAGGAATTCCCACAATACCATGAAGGGAATGGTCCTCCGTGGTGACCATGAAGGATTTTGACCAGCTCCGAAAAGAAAAAAAACCTATATCATGTCTCCTAATATCATTTTACGGAAATGTGGGTGATTCCATGGCTGTTAGCGAGCAGTGTATATCACTGGAGATGACTCCACTTGGTCATAGTGTGTATTTTCGGTATATCTTCCGCTCCTGCAAATTTCGGAATCATAACTCAACAATTACGATAGATACAGGGGTGCTTCCATTAGAAGTGAGATACGTTGTCCCTCAGTATTATAGATGTTAGTTTCATCATCCATTTGAAGCTCGGGGATAGTATGATCGTTAGGACCAATTCAAATCAATCGATTAATATTCTCCAAGGGCTTCCTTTAATTGTCGAAGTGTGAATATCATTATAGCTTTAAAGGCAATGAGTTAACATTTTTAACGAGTGTGTTTGCGCAGAAATGAGTGGTACCTATACTTTGGTACTTACTCATAGACTGAAAATGATTAGTATGCGAGAAGGTATCGCCGTTCTGACTTTTAATAATTTCATAGAAATCTCCCATATCCTATTTTCATATTCAGACGGAATATGGAATAGATTTAATGGGAAAACTATGTTACCTAATGATATTCTCAAGGTCGGAGATGGAATATTGGGATTACTTTGATTCATTCATCTAGTAGTAACTCGTGATCAAACTATAGATATTTGAATAATGGCATAAATGGAATCAATCAAAGCTCATTACTCATTGCCATTACTAATTATTTGAATGTTGATTCTCTCTCTTACGAATCCACCTACCTATAAATTAATTTCTGGTCCAAATAATGTTCATGCTTCATAAGATTCTTCGCACTGGTGAAATTGATATCAATAATATGTTGTTCATGTTTATATTTTCTCCTTAGAGGAAGTTTGCAGTTAATTTTCTATTTATTCTCTCCATTAAACGATAAATTGACTATTTCTATGCTCAGCGTGAAGCACCACATTCACAATTACTATCCCTTCATTGAATTAAATGTATCAATGATTCATATATACCACGAAACTCACGAACGTAAACAATTCCGTGCTAAGAAACAACTCAAAATTTGTGTATTCATATATATCTGAGTGTCAGGAAAAACTTGAAATCCTGTAAAACCAATCACTAGAGGACCTTATGCCTACAAATCTTTATTGAATCACGAACATTATTATGAATTTAACTTACATTTGAATCTTCATTCATTTTTGGAAGGAATATACACAGAGAAAATCATTGTGCAATGCCTGATGTAACATTTTTATTTAATCAGGCGAATTTTTGGGATTTGCAGGAAATATACAGGTTGTTTCGACATTCAGAATCAAGATTTCAAGGACTTATTTTTAAGGCCAAAATAAGGCATTTTTCTATGAATATGTGTCCGCAAACGTTTCGTTGCTGATCTACAGAGCGTTATAGTTTCAAGATTATTTCATTTCCCAGCGCATTACATTAAAAGTCAAGATTCGTTAGGTTTCTGATTCTTCAGGTAATCTTTGGAAACACAAACTAAATATTGGGGGTTTTTGTGTTCATTGTGAATATAGGTCTCTCCCTTAATCTTGATGAGGATTTCAATTAAATCTGGCGATTTACGAAAAATGTTTTTTCTTCTCGATAACGGTCGCAGATGCGTAACAATTATGATAGATGAAGAAGTTCATTAACAAAACTCATTTCGTATTTCAAAATTTACCAGTGGCACCCCACAAAAAAGTTTATGGAGCGGATAAGGGCCACCATCAGACCCCGGAAAAAATATCTTCCTGTAGATTCTTATAGTCACTCGGCATACTGTCTGATGTTACCCAAAAACCTAACCTATTTTTTAAATCTGATCTGAATATCTCGAGAATGAAAATGCTATGAAGAAAATAAAATCTTGAAATTATAGCACTCTATAGATTGGTAACAAGGCGTTTGCGGACACAGGTTTATGGGAAAAAAATCTTATTTTGATCTGAAAAATTAACCCCTCAAATCTTGATACTGAATTTTGGAAAACTCTATATACAGGGTGAATCTGAAAGTTTAACAGGGTATATATCTCGCCAAAATAAGTTGTTTGGCCTAATGCTCCATTTCCATCCTAAATTTTTTTGGTTCGCTTTAAAACGATAAAGAGAGGTTTTTGATTAGTGTTTCTGATGAAATAATGTAACTGTAGAGTATCCAATGCTGGACTAATAACGGTTTTTTTTTCGTTTTTTCTTGAGAAAATGTAATCAAAATGTTTCATAGTTGGAGTCTTCTTCAAACCATTAAATACCTGTACCTCCGTTATCTTAAATATTTTATGTGAGAAATTTTTTGCCAAAGAGCTTATTTTACTGAGATTTATATCCTGTTGAAAAAAACTTCACTTTCAGATATATGTAATCAAAAGATTTGGGTCACTTTCAGTCAAACAGGTACTTTGGTGAATTTCAAATGTTATTTGTTCGAATTGAAAAAGTTGGTGTATTTAATCTATGAGACGTCTATATAGGGTGATCCAGATTTAGATATATTAATTACAAGATGAGGTGATAGAAACTAGCAAACAAGGCGTTGACGATTCGAAAAATCTGCTAAGGAATAATAAATTCCTATTTAATCGAACTTCATCAACACTCCAAGTTATGGTGTATTTGTGTAGGTATGTTTCCTAAGAAAAGTCCCCTCATTTTGCTATTCTCTATCACCTCTGAAAATAAATGTAAAAAAATCTATACCCACGTGCATACATGTGTTCTGGTCACCCGGTATACGCACAGGATGTTTCCAAAATTGGAGCTATGAATGAGGTGGATGGGTTATAGAAGATGAACAAACAACACGAAATGAAATCATTTAGGCAGATACTGAATTTACAATATTCATGGATTTTTTGTTAATCATGATCAGAGATAACAGCCGAACCCTAGCGTTTGTGGTGGTGTCAGAAGCACCGGAATTATCAATTTCTTCTGCTATATGTCGTCGGACCTCTAATAATATTTGAAAGATGAGGTATGGTGAGAGCTTAAATGTTTTTCAACGTTTTAAAAAATTTTCTTTTTGCCATTCATTGTGTCGTATATCTCATACAAAAATCAATTCCATCAACGGCTTCAATTTCTAAAATACATAGCATATATTTGCCAGCAAATGGTCAACGTACTCAAAATAAGTAAATTTTCTTTCAATTGCAGCTAGTAACATATCAACGATTGAAAATATTTCTTTGTGGTCTTTGGTTAACTGCTGTTATGCTGGTGTACATGCCACTTTTTGGATTTGGTCTGTATTACGATGCGCAAAAACAAAGATGTACTAGATTTAGACATGCAACAGAGCTGAGAGATAAGATATATGCGTACCTGTTTTTTGCCTTCGGTAAGTGAACAACCAACGTTCATCATCTCATTATTTGATTGATTATTTACCGTGTTTGTCGTGTTCGAAAAAATCGAGAACTATACCTATTGCAGTCTTTACCTTTTGCGTTTTCAGAAGGGTGCAATGAAACATAAAAATAATTTCATTTCTTAGATTCATAACGATCCCCTATCTGATTGAATAGTCTCATCATTTAGATATTTTCAAACCCATATTCAAGTTTATTGATCAGCTATAGAAATACCAGGATACAGCTTTGCTGTCTCCAGTAAGAAGTTACAGGCTCGAGAGAACACTGTAACACGGTTATCAAATGAAAGTAGTCCGGCGATATCAATCTGAAAAGTCCTGAAATTTCGACATGCGCTCGCCAGAAATCACCCAGCAAACATTTTGATATGGGACATTGATGGCCTAATATATTTTCCCCATACCTGACATCAGCGGCCCAGTTAATGGTCCCATATGCGGGACTCTGTATATCAGTACACTGCAGCCGGCAGCTGGTCCCAGTGCTGGGCACCCAACAATCACATTCAGTTCCCCGGCAGAAGGCCAGTACAACATACTCGACACATTGAGTTTCCCATAGCCAGCCCAGCATATACATAAATGATGGGACTTTAATGGCCAGTTATCGACATTGGTTACATACTATCGAGGTAGGGGTTTTAGGGGTCCAATGAATCTGAAAGTTCTAGTAACTCTATATTTTTCAATATAATAACCCATTCATCATATATTATATCAAACATACACACACCAGATTTCAAAGAAACAATTTTATGAATGACACAGTGATATCTTAATCTCTCTCTTCTCCTATGATGAAACTTCTCAGAGTGACTGCTTACTGGCTGGTATACATGGTAACTACATCTACATCTAATATTGGGTAGCATTCCTTCAAAATTGATTCTTTATTGCGAGGTACTCCTGAAATATATAATTCATCATCAGTTATTATCAGTGGCCTTTCTTGATATCAGAATTCTTCCTCCATAGGAGTATGGAAAACGAGATACTGTTGCATGAGTTTATTACTTGACCAATATAGTCTGATGATAACATATGGAGATTTTCAATTCCCATTATTTTTTTGGCACATCAGGTATTTCTGAAGTTGAAACTTTATTCTTATTTAATTCTATAATGGAGACAGGTTAACATAAATTGAAATTGCTTTTGAAAGCAATGAACGAGTTAAACATGGTAGTTATAAGCTTCTGGAGAGGTAGAGCCACTCCAATTATTATGATCATTAGGTATATTATGAGGTTATGAGATACCAAACACATGCATTTAATAATGGAATTCGAAACACTAGATCGGATGCTTGATCCTTATCCAATATTATCAATTATTTACAGACATCTTACCATCACAAGGTCATCATCGTATCTGATGGTTACTTAGCATAGGGAAATCATCGGCCCATTACCAATACCCCGGCATCGTCACTTTCCCAGACTTGCCGGACTTCTCCCGGTAGTTCAATGTTTGCTGGGTAGGGTAACCATTGATAGTGAGAATGGTTCATATTTCACTTTTCAGATTGACATAATACGTAAAACTAGAATTGGTTAACTCCAGTTGTTTCTATAATCTGGAAAGCGGTCTTCTTTCGCGAGCCGGACTATATTTTTTTCAGTGTAGGTACATATCTGTCTTCTGTTTGTGGGTATAATTTTGCTAATCTTCTACCTAATGGATATTTTTTAGGGTCAACGTTATGCCTTTGCTTGGCATTTTGCAATACATCTGTCATTTGCGAGTTATCACGAATAAGATCGCAACAGAGAGTTTTGGTGAGGAGAGTGAGCAGATCCATAATAAGCAACCGCGTGGGCTGTGCTAGATATCAAACTCCTGAAGAAGTGGCTTTTTCCAAATTGATGGCGGTCGTTTGCATCATTTTTGTAGCATGCTGGCTTCCGCAATTGGTGAGTAACTATTATTTCTATAAAAAGAACAAAATATACTATTCGCGAATTATTCCTAAACACAATTAACAAAGATAACTCTTGCTAGTACCGAGCTGTTCTATGCATTGAAGATTATTCTGTGTGTACAGTTCTGCTCATCAAAATCGGAACGAGTCATAATCTCAGTAGGTACGCTGCTTCATAGCACCACGATTACCTACTCATTTCAGACAATTATTGATAGAGGAATTTTATCTTTGATCCCAATGAGCACCAGACTTCTTCAAGACGTAAATTTAATGTCCGATTGACGTCTTCACGTTCGAGGTGTGGAGAAGAAGCGTGAAAATATTCATATAGCTATATTTTGTACACATTCGCCAAAGTATTCTTGTAGTAATTGGGCATCGCACTATGCACCATTTTTTCCTTCAAATTGCCCAATATAATCAGAAATATTATGGCTAATGTAATACTTCGCGCGATTGAATACAGGTGGCATCGTTTAGACTTCGCCTCTGAACGTCTGCTGGAAACCAATAAATACTGATGTAAGCTAGTAGCTTTTAGACTTTGAATCGACATTTTTTTATCGCTCGGAGATTAAAAGGTCTTGAGAATACTTCCTAAGGCAATAAACTCCAGACCTTTGCCGTTCAATAGAAGTACATGTTTTGATAGTGCTGTTTGACACATTTTGCGGTTGACGACAGTTCCCGTGGAATGACTCTTTTCTGGAAAAAATCTGAGAGCATCAGCGTATGTTTGGGTGCTGAACCCCATATGTGGGAACAGTATTCTGGAACAGGCCGTATCTGAGCTTTGTAGATCATGAGAAGCTATTGAGATATGAAGAAGCCTTTCACGATCGATCTTACATGATGATTATCCCATGAAAGAGTATTTCTGATGGAAATACCAAGCATTGATAAAGTGGACTTGGTGGGAATGGTGGTACCATCAGACTTTGTTTTATCAGGCATACTGAGCTCCGCCTTTCTAGAGAAATTATAGGCTTGAATTCTGATGGCGTTGAATTGAACTAGGTTGTCGGTTCTGCAGTCTGCAAAATCTTCATTGACAGCGCTGACTTGCCTTCGCCGTGAGTTCCCAGTTTCCTGGGAAGAAATAGAGATTCAGGAAGAGAACGCAGAAGTTTGATTGATGTACACGAAATTGATCGCCGTTAATGACCTCTATTAACGATCAATTTGTCACATAACGAACGATTAAGGTAAAGGCAACCAAACATACACCGCGTCGTTTCACTGTTGGGATTATAATTCAATTTAATTCCTGTTTTATAACACTACAGGAATTTCTTTTCCATGTTGATAATTTCGACAAAGGTCAAATGTCACTAATGTCAGTGACAAGTTGACTTTCATGGCTACTGGGTGATTGATTGAACGGTAAAATCTTGTAAGCAATTCGTATTAAAATATGACGATTAATGATCTCGAACATTGCCGCACTCGCTATGCTCGCACGTTAAAATATCTCAATTATGATTACATTAGTTAATGGGTAAATGACTATTAATCGCCTCACTCACCCATAATTCTGTGTGGGGGGGGGGCCAACACGACTATAAAATCAAGAACCTGACAGTACAGAAAAACTAATTATATCGATAATTCTACTATTCAGAATCTGAGGTTCTGAGTATTGATATATGAATAACCAAAAATGACTCTAAGAAATCTTCTTGGTCTTGAAGACGTTCATTGTAGTGGAAAATGCACGTATTGAATAGATCTGGAAGATGTTCTTTTCTTTGACTCATTGGGATGACTATATTTAGGGCACTGTTCGACTCAATAATGGACGACGTTCTAATACAGCTCCAATAGTAACATATACTAGCTTTTGTTATTTCTGCTGTGTTATCTACTGATAGAGTATGTTTTAGTATTGTACGATAAGTAATCATCATTAGGTATCAGTTTTTTGATTCAATGATCCCCTCCACATATTCGTCTCTTTCGGCAATGAATAGTATAATAATAGGAAATAATAGGATTTAATAGATATACCTAGTGATATTTTAGAACATTCCCTAGAAACAGATGTACCTATAGGGTGTATATTGTTTATTGGAACACCTTATTTTCAATATGGTAGGTATACAACCCCCTAACATGAGACATCGAATTTCCAGCGTCATTATGATATTATCTATAATTAGTTTGTAGTACACCAAACAAAGTACAAAGGAATATACAACATTCACTTCCAAATATTTACGGAACATAACTGATATTACTATTTAATGTTATGATAAGGAAGAATTTGGGACAATTTTTATCAAAAAAAACTACTGAAAATCATATTTTGTAGCAATATTAATCTTTCTAATACAGGGGCGTACCTTCTTGAAATGATCTACATTATGCCACATTGCAAATGAGAAATGAGGACATTACAATAAATATTATATCAAAAGTTACAAAATCAGCTTTTTTTCTTGACACTAGATGCTCGTAATCCAAATGCATGAAAAATTAGTGTTTCTTCCTCATTTGTTTACAGGTGACAGTCCCCGTTTCACAATTTCTCACCCCATCGAAAGGGACCCAGAAATTCACTGCAGTTGCAGATGCGCTTTTGACTGTCTACTTTGCGGTGGACCCGTTCGTTTATGTTTTACTGCGTTATTTTGAGGGTCACTTGAAGTTTTGTTATTTCTCGAAAAAGCAAAATACCGGAAAAACTGATAAATTTGTGGTGAAAAAACAACATACCATCGATATTTCACCAGAAATTCCCTGCCTACCACATCCTGGTGAAATAATCTCACTCGAAAATCTCAACGGAAAATGAAAAACCCTAACGGAAAGTGAAAACCCTGGAGCCAGATATACAGGGTTATCCGAATTGAGTGTTCATAATGGGTGACTTTTACAAATTTGAAAATGGCTTTGGTTAAATTACCAATTCACATGCATTTTTTCTGCTGATCATAATGGTGGAAACTGAAAAATAATTGAGTATCACGTATTTCAGTTATAAATCAAAACAGTATATTTCCTAATAAAATACTAATACCCTGAATATTCGTACCCACCTTTTTCAATTCTACTCATTATTTTCTGAGTATTAACAGTTAGAACTCATGAATTTTACTGGTTCCGATAATTATTGTAAAAATCAGTTTTTACGATGGATTTTCAACTGTGAATATCTCGAGAATAGTTGCATATCGGCCATCGGCCTCGGGTATGTTGTATGGAGAATACTTAAAATTTCAATTATTGGATTTGAAATTGTACGAATATACAGGGTGTTTCATTGTTTTGATTAATGACCCCAAAAACGTGTCACCTACTGAATTGTTTTTCTGTTCTCACTATATTGTATGCAGTGGAAAAACTGCTTATAGTTTGCTGATTCAACTGATGTCAGAGTTTCAAAATCATTGAAGTTATCAATAACGATCACTTATAAAAAAACATTGTATAAATTAGCAAACAAGCAGTATTTCACATAAAAATTGAGATCGCGTTTTCAAGCTTGGACAAGATTTTTGTCTGTGATATTTTGTCACTAATAACTTCAAATTCTTGATGGAAAGCTGATGAAAAATGTTCATCTAGTCAAAAATACTGATGATTTGCTATATATTCAATAATTTTGTATATCTATTCAGATCATCCTGTATTCGTTGAGGGCCCTGATTCAGTCCCACTCCTGCATATACTCATATAGGTACATATTATATAGATTGTAGTATTGCTTAGTATTTTGTGATATTTATTCATCAGCTTTAATAATAAAACAATTTTATTGCCAGACATCAGAAGTTATAAGTTTTTGATTTTTGTTTTATATGTAAACATCAAAATGTTTCTGGCCTCTCTACAGTACCAAATTCTGACCTTCAATATAGTATCTTGAAGATGCAACTAGTGAAATTATGGATTCCGAGATACGATTATATCAATCAGTGCTATTACCGTCCAGATGTTCTTCCTTATCCTCATGGTATCGAAGAAATCTCTGAAACATGAATTTTTATTCCAATTCACCACATTTTTAAGGACGAACTTCAAATATCGATAACTACCAATATAATCATATTCAAAAAATTTAAAATAGTTAATCGATATATCGATATCGATATATTGATACATGTATTAATCGATATACCGATTTCATCCCAGGCCTATGCGGAAGCAGAGGAAGGCTTGAAATTAATTTTCATGAATCATGAAAACTGAGCGATTCCGGACCAATGTTTATTTGAACTTTTTGACTCGAAGTTTGGTGATATACCTCAATTACACAATGTATATTTGTAATATATAGATCAACAGTAGACCAAGCAATTTTGCTGCCCTTCTACCCTGCTTTATTCAACCAAGATTTTTTTTATTATTTTTTTTTTCTTGCGGAGTAATTATTTTTTTCGGCTTTTGCAGGTTTCAGTGCCAGTATCACAATATCTGGGTGCCAATAAATCATCTGCATTTGACAAAGTCGCGGACGCACTGTTGTGCATTTATTTCACGTTAGATCCATTCGTGTACGTCTTACAGAACTATATTGAAGGTCGCCTGTCATGCTGCTCTACTAGAACATCCACTAGTAGCCTGCCCACTAGTACATCGACAACTATGGTAACAACACCTATCTCTGGACTTCTTCAACCTCCATCATTCGCTATCCCCGATGTGTGATATTATAGTCCAGAATGTTTATCATTTTTTACTAAAAATATTGCTACAACAGTATGAACAGGGTGCGATCCAGTTGCTGAATAAATAAATGATTATGTTCACACAGAAACGTAATAAAATTCATACATGGTGTTCCTTACACACACAGAACATGATATACGTTCAATGTACGTACAGGGTGATTGACTTTGGATTCACGCTTTCAAAACTCACTATCTCGAAAACTAAATGAGGACGCCCGATGGACGTACTCGAGTAGACGTTCAACGTCCAATGGACGTTCAATGCACTTTGGACGTACAGTGGATGTCTTCATTTGGACGAACAATGGATGATCATCTTTGGTCTCATTATGGATGTCCATATCTGAGCATTCATTGGACGTACCAAAGACGTTGAAAAATGAATGTCCATTCTACTTACATGGATTGTGGGACAATGAATGGACGTCCACTGGACATACAATTTGGAGCATCCAATGATTATTCATGTTTCTACGTACATTGGATGTCCATTGGACCTAAAATGAACGTCCAAAGGATGTTATGTGCTGTGTGGGTAATGATATACGATTATCAAAAAAAATGTGTGATTCTATTCGGCTGGTGATAGTCCTGCACGTTTTATTGTTGCATTTCAATTAACAGTGGTGTTCCTAAGGTGGCTCATGGAGTTAGTTTCAAAACCTGCACAGAACACTTTGGGCTAAAAAAATCTACCTACATACCAATAAAGTACATAAACTACTGATACCACATGGAGATCAATGACGGTTTGCTTTATAAACTATGGTCCAAAATTTTTGTTTTTGAAAATACGGGTTATTAAAAGTTCGATGACAAAAAATTAATTAATTTAATTGCGAGATAATATTTCAGTGATGCGTAGTGACGTGTTTTCAGATTCAACAGTTCCGTTTGTTTCTGGGCATACCGACTCTTGAATTTATTTTTGAACACAACCATGGTACAATAATGTTTTTTTCTCGAATGAAATTGAATACCCACCCGTTCAGTTTGGAACGTAAGTGCGTTTCCTCAAATTTTTTGAGAGAAAAAAAAAACCGTTGTCCGAAAAATCAATATGTCCTCAATTATTGAAGATATTCCACTTGTGTTATAGAAGTTGGTCTGACATTTTCAGGTAAGTTCGTGTCGTTCAATTCTATTCGCTGGATGCCTATCTTATTTTTACATTCCTGTCAAACCTCAACACCCTGGAACATTCGTGGACCTCAATTCATAAGGCAAACTTTCATTAGTTTCAGAGCTTCCCGTATTCCTTTCTCATGTATCATTAAGGAACACCCTATGTATATGCACTTCACATGTCATAAAAAGTTACGTCAACCAAAACCTACCTAGTGTTCAATAAGAATACCGACGTTGGTGGAATAAGAATAGGTATACTCTCTCCACTTCTCATCACAAACACGTGGTATGTGGCAAAAAGGCAAATATCTCTTTTCTATCTGGTATTGACTCATTATTAATTCAAATTCAGGATTCGTGTATTGTAATAGTTCGACCATCCAACTCAAAGATAATCCGAAAATTTTGAAATGCTATCTCCTGTTGAGGTGAACATTGGCAACAGGAAATGTGCTGATGTCAGTGCTGACATTTTCTTTTGATCATCAAGCTTTTATAAATAAGTCACTATCTCCAAAATCCGAATCCGAAATGGTTGGATGAGATATAAAAAGCCTTTATGGCTATAGCACAACATTGCTCTCGTTTTACTGTGTTCTATTGATCAATCAGGTACCTACTTAGTATGTCATCAGCTAAATTTCCGTATCTGATATCACAATATGTATCATTGTGCTATTATTTCACAAAATCTCCTCTCCCATGAAATCTTAAATTTCAGGCAATGACTGCTCTGTCAAATATTTGAGCATTGCTTAAGAGAAAATCGGATGTACGGTTACAAGCCATTAAACATTTTTCTGTTTTCAGTTACAGCCGTAGAAAAAGTATAGTGTATAACTCTCACGGAATGCTGATTTGCAGCATGAGCTGTAGAAATGACTATCATTCCATGCTCGTTAAACAATATACTATTTTTGGAAACATACACAAAATGGTAAATGTGTATTAAGTTAGAAAAACTCTGATTTAACGGCATTCGATGTTGGACCCAAACTCGGCGCATTTTTTTTCTGTAACCAAATTTTATTGTTGATTGTCTGGGGACTTTTTGTTTAGGTCATACTGACCATATCAAAAATTGAATATTCCTGATTGGACTGTCTGAATAACTCTAACCAGATAGTACCCTTTTTTGTCCACTGATGGTAGAAAATTCATGTACTGCATTTCTGCGTATCTTTTCATCTGAAATTTCCATTAACATCTTAACTAGAACACATCGTTTTTCATGAGAGTTTCTGACCCAAATAAGTAGTGAAAGAAAATCAGATAAGAAGAAGTTGCATGCCTGTTTGAAATTTATCTTTTCTAGTTGGACTGTGGTATTAGCCTACAATGCTACAACGTCTGTATCGTCACTCGTAAATAGCTTTTCCTATTTCCATCATCAAAATGTCTTCTTATCTTTCTGGGACTTCTAAATCCTAGGCGGAAGACATGAATTTCAATAAATCACAGAGGGTGATTTAAATATTTGGAATATTCGCGTAGATTTATCTTTCTGATTGTAGTACAGATTCAAGTAGATAGTTGCAATTGTGGCGTAGTTTTTCAAATGTATTCGAGCATCAGTATTATTTTCGATGGAATACAAGGAAAAACTGGTCAAGCGAAACATGATTCAAAATTTGAATACTAAAATGTGGTGAATGAATAGGTATTTCCATTCCCTGCAATTTAGATTTTTATTTGGTAACAGCTCAAGGTATCGAAGGTAGTCACCCTGTATATTGTTCATAATGAATAAGTTCGTATTCAAAGTATCACAAAATTATGTGGATAGCGAAATTCCTGATATGTATTTGAAAACTCATCGAAGTTCAGTATAATATGACATATTATGATAGGTATAATTATTATATACTTTATGCTATCATTCATAAAATATGAATATTCTTGAAGATAAGTATAGTTTCATCTGAATAGTCATGAGATGTCTATTTAATATTTGCACGTATTTTTATATTTACCAGATCGCATTTCATAATATGCGTTCTAGATGATTGAATGAGTGTGGATTCGTCGTTTTCTTCATAGAAGACCTTGAAATATAATTCAAACAACGTCAATTTTCATATTTGTATTTTCACTTCTGTTTAACAGTGTATTTACAATGTGAATTTCATTTTCTCGAAAAAAATACAAAATGTGGTTGTTTTTTTTTTAATAATTTTAGGGACCTGGTTTTTGTCGATTCAAAGAAAAATGAACCGTTGATGACTATACTGGGTGACCACGATATTACTAGTCACCCTGTAGATTTCATGAAGTTTACTCAATTTCCATATTTCAAATAGTATAACATATATACCGGGTGTCACACCGGGTATCGGGCCACTCCTGTAACTTCTGCATTCTTGGACGGATTTTTCTGAAAATTGGTACAGTTATATAAGCAACCATTTCGGATTTCAGTTCCATTTTGAGAAACGGAGTTGCTGGCATTCCCAGAAAATCGGAAGTCCGCCATATTGAATTATAATGTCCTTAAATCCGAAATGGTTGCTCACATAGCTGTACCAAACTTCAGGAAAATCCGTTTACTAATGCAGAAGGTATTTTCAAAAATTTCGATTCTTTTCAATAAGTTGCAATTGAATAAGTCACATGAATCAATGTAGCAGAACTATCAATAGCTCCATATTATCTGGAAAACTATGGAGATTACGTCGGAATAGGATTTGATGCATATTTCATACTGTCTTGAAATCCAATCCAAGAAAAATACGCAGAAGTTGATGATGCTTTCAATTATATGTTCGAGTACTCAAAATATGCATCTGAAATATGAAAGGAAAATGTTTCACTGATAAGTCATTTGATAAGTAAACGACACAGCCTGACTAGTAAGGTCGTGATCACATGGTGGACTGATATTTATTTGTGATAAATGTAGTATACTGTATTAACTTTCCTTAATAAACGTACAAAATATAAAATTCTTATATTTCTTTGGTACCTACCACCTACCCGTCTCTTTTTCAGATCAACAGAAATGAATAATTATGAAGTATATGTATTACCAACCGAGGTCCTACAAATACTGCATTTGTATTGAGATCAAACTCTATACACACAGTGTCTCACTTCAAACGGCCCCTATTCTTTTTCTCACAAAATTTGGATTTTCTTTAAAATGAAAAGTGGTAAATTTTTCATGAAAT